GCTGTCAAGCCATTACCAGCTACCCAATCACAAACACTTGGAAGGGGTAATCAAACTTGGGAAACAAACCTTTAACTGAAACATCCACTCCACCTCATCATCTCAAATAGTCATCTTCTTTGACTATTTTGGCTTAATGGACTAACTTGGGAGCTGTTTTCTTTACTTATTTCCACTGTTGTTAACCTCCAACAATTAGCTATAAAACATTCAGGCAGGGACAATAAGACCCCTTGGTTTTTTTTGCATAGCTGAGTTTTTTTGCATAGCTGAGTTAAGTACCTGCTTAAAAATTGCTGCAGATATTACTTGCAGTAGAATCCCTTTTGGTGCAGGTTTTATCACATTAGGTATTAAAAACACCACAGTTAACTAGTATGCACATAAGCACAAAAACCTATCTGCACCTATATACGTATAAGGTACCTAACTCAAATATTGAAATTACCCCCTCATAATGGACTAAATATTTCATAAATTTTGTCTCATTCTGATTACAAATATAGCTACTTAAATTTTTCCCATACAAGATCAATGCCGATCATTTTCTTATATTAAAAAAAGACAAATATGCTCCTAAACTGGAATTGATAGGATAGTATTCTCTAGGACCGTTCCAGGACAGCTAGTTTTAAAAGCTAGAATTCAGTCTTCAGGGTGGCTTAGATAACTACCATAGAGCCCTATCATTTTATTGCTGTTCTGGCAATACCCACTTCTCAGTTTATGCAAAGAGAGAAAAAACAAGTTCCAGTGCTAAACTTCTTGTATTGCCGTGAAAATAATCCAATTCAATATTGTTGAATGTTTCAGAAGTGTGACGATAGCCATTATGAACAAGAGTAACAATTTCTATTATTTCTTGGGCTTATTTATTTTTCTCAAAAAGTAAAGGGTGGCCTAAATAATTGCAGTTGAGAATATTGATTTTTGACCTGTTCAGAGCAAGTATGGTGAGAGTAGAATTTTTTACATTTTCAGACACTGGGATATATGGCTGGTAATCAAAATTCCAGCATATCTGCAGGGGAAAAAAAGAAAAGAAATAGGAAAGAAATATTTATGCTCAGGAAACAAAATTATCTCATGCTTCAGAATTATATCAGTACTTATAATAGTGATTTCTAAAGATTTGATTCACCAGATTGGTCTAGAGTAGACTCTAGTGGTTAAGATGCTGGCCTAGAAACCAGTTCTAGTCCTGTTGAATAACTGGCGGGTGATTTTGGACCAGTCACTTACTCTTAGTCCAACTCACTTCATAGGCATGTTGTGGAGAAAATAGAAGGAGAAAAGAGTATTAGGTATGTTCACTGCCTTGAATTATTTATAAAATAATAACAGGTATAAATAAATAAATGACTCACAGAAACTACATTTTTGTTGGGTACATCTACCCATTTATTTTTGGTTTTGGGGAAACAGATGTTCTGGAAGCTGTAGGAGTTTCCACACATACAAATGGGCAGCAAAGAAGATATTTTGGATAATTTCTGTGTAGGATAGTGCCAACTAGTTTGATCCTGTTTACGTTCTGCACCTGTGGAAGAAAATGTTTGGCATAAAATAGCCTTATGCAAATAAGTGCCTGCTGCCTGTGTGAGGGATGAGTTATACAAGATAGAAAGCCTTAAGGCTTACTCCAACGAAGTTTGATCTGTGATTTGATTACAACAGTTTGAGTGCTTTATATAGTGCAGCGGCTAAGAGAACAAAATGTTTTCTGTTTCTAGTTTCTGTCACCATTGACTCTCTAGGTGGCCTTTGTGCAAGATTTGGTTCTGCCCTATAAAAGAATAATATCCTGCTAAGTTGTTTCATTGGAGCTTTGTAAAGATTACTAAAATGTTTTTTTCCTACTACTCAACATTCCTTGTTGGGTATTGTACCCCACTCAACCTCAGTACTTGCTTTTGAGTAAACATAGGCTTGTGTTAAATAATACAGTATTCGGAATGCCACATAACATAAATATAAGAGATGCATAAATTATATTTTTTTGGCCAGGGAGAACAGCCCAAATAATTTAATAAGTTAATTTATATATATATATATATATATGTCTTTGGTTATTCGGGTTTTCTCCCGCGTAAAATTGGAAGTGTCTTGGCGACGTTTCGACAAAGTCCCATTCGTCATCTTCAGGCTGGTGTCTTCAGCTTCGTGCTGAAGCTGAAGACACCAGCCTGAAGATGACGAATGGGACTTCGTCGAAACGTCACCAAGACACTTCCAATTTTACGCACGAGAAAACCCGAATAACCAAAGACCTACATACAAACACCCGCGAAAACCTCAGAAAACATACACACACACACACACACACACACACACACATCTACTGATATGTAGGGGATTTTTTTCCCCCTTAAAGGGGAAAAACAAAAAAGGGTGCCAAATTCTTTCAAAGAAGGAATGTTTTGGTAATCTTATTTCCTGAAATGAACTTTAAATCTGCTTGTGAACAGCAAACTGAAAGCTGGAGGTCATACCTAGAAATGTCTGATGCTTCTGCCAAAATTGTGTTGGAGGCTGTGCCACCTGAGGAGCTCTGCAAATCTGGGATTGAGCAAGACTAGGAGGGGAGAAAAACATTAAAGAAACTCCAGTTAACTATTTCTAGGTCCCACCCTGCAAACTAAAATAAGTAAAAGTATTAATAATTGAGCTTTAGAAAGCAATGAGCAACTTTAGGACATTTCTCTATTTAAAAAAGAAATCAATATAAGAAATACTCCGTGTTGGGTTCTATAACTGTGTGTTATAAAATAATTCAGTTCACCTTGAATCTTTCTTATTGACTATACAGGTGTAATTACATGCTTTATTTATTTGCTAGATTTATATCTTGCTTTTCATTCAAGAATGAATAGAGTTGACAAATTCAAGCTGGGAAACATGGTGCTGTCTTCCTTTTCCCCCCACGGCAACAGCAACCTTGGAAAGTAGAGGGGTGATGAGCAAGAGCTTAGTGACCTTCTAGGCTGAGGGTGGATTACAACTACTACTACAGTCATGTCAGGAGTGCCAAAGCGCTTCCAGATTGAAAGGGTTAAACGGTGATATCACCATTTCCCAGGGAACCCCCAGTTGGGGGCTCCTTTCATGTCCTGGTTAAGTTGCCCATCAAAGTGGTACCCATTTATCTAGTCACAGTTGTCAGCTTTTCAACTGCTAGGTTGGCAGGAGCTGGAGCGTGTGATGTTGTGCGGCAACACAGGGTCTTGAATGTGAGCCTGCCAATCATCAGCCCAGCGTCCTAACCTTTTGGTCCCTGAGTTCAACTTATGCCTCCCCACTCCTAGTTCAACACCTTAATGGCTTAACTCAAATATCTTTTCAAACAAATTATTCTCAAGACAATTTACAACTAACCTGTTGTGGTAGTATAAACTCAATAGCAGCTGACTGGACACTTGATGGAACTGCCTTCCAGATCACGGAGAAGCTCTGCATTCTTCTGGGTTCATGAAGTATTTGGGCAGACCATCTTAATAAGCATAATTGTGTCCTGGCTGTACTCATCCGCCCCCACATTCCGTGAGAGAGGCAGCCTTAAACTATCCTTGGTTAAAGTAGTATTTTCCCCCTTACACTGACACCATCCAAGATAGTTGGCTGGACAGAATCTGCTAGGTATATTTATCCATCAATTTGTAAGAAAGTCTGGTGGCTAGAAACAGAGATAATAGAGATTGGCAATGGGTATAACAAATGTCATACTGTAACAATTTGCTGTCAACTGAAGGATGAGTGGCGAACACTGTAGCTTAGTAATAGCAAAATATGTAGAAATTTCCTCTTGAGCAAACAGTACTTCTTCTTCAGAGAGAGGGTGGGTGGGTTAGAATAAGAATAAGCTCTAGCAATCAACCAACCTTTCTGGAGAAGTGGGTGGATATATTTAGAATTATGAGATCGTGGCATAGAAATTCTGACAAAATGGCTGCTGTGAGAGATGGATTTGCCTTCTTGTAAAACAGTTTAACAGATTGTCCCGACCATATCTCAACTGAAAAAAATCCAGATGATCACTGGATGACAGCAACAAGATAAAACACTCTCTGTCGGTTAACTGCCATCTACCAGTAGTGGGTTTTCTAATGAGTATGACCAGCCTTCAGACAACCATTTAAGGTAAAATGGTTGCCCCTGCCACCCTCTGTAGTCCTCTATATGCTTTCTACTTGTTCACTTAATCCACTGCTTTTATAAATTATAAGGATGAATATGATCTGATTATTTACTTTTACATATGTATTTATCATTAAAATTAAATGGCTTCTGTTGATGGCAAATTACGATTTGATAGCTACATTGTTATGATTTGATTTGCTCATAGTCACTCGTGTCTTTGTAAACTGTCATCTGGACTACTACAATGTGCTCTACATGGGGTTGTCCTTGAAGAGCATTTGGGAGCTTCAACAAGTGCAGAATCTGGCTACATGGGGAGTAAAGTGTGCCAGGCATTCAATTCACATAACACCACTGCTCCATTGGTTGTCAGTGTATTTTCAAATGCAATTCTAGGTGCTAGTTGGCACCTTTAAAGCCCTACATGATGGGGCCAGGTTACCTAAGGGATCATCTTCTCCTAGTTGTCTCTGTCCATCCAATTTTATCAGACAGATTGGACACATGCAGGCCCCATCAGCCAAGGGGTTTTGGCTGGTGGGAACCAGGAGTGCCTTCTCTGCCATAGCCCCTGCCCTCTGGAGTATTGTCCCTTCAGATATCAGGATTACCCTGACCCTATTGGCCTTTTACAAGACTGTGAAGACTTGGTTGTGTGGCTGGAGCCCCAAGTGGTTAAGGGTCCTATTGTATTAACATCCATAGTGCCAGTTTTACTTGGTACCATACATATTTATTTTGCACTGTTTAATTGTTTTTATGTCTTATGATGTATGCCACCCTAAGTCATCTATTGAGATGGATAGCTATAGAAATCAAATCAAACAAATAAGTAAGTGTTAACTTTTTTTCTCTCCTTTTAGACTAAGAAAACGAGATCCAAGCAAGCTACAAAACATGACTTCTGATGCTAGTCACATGCTTGAAGCTGCTCTGGAACAGATGGATGATATCATTGCAGGTATTGTGAGAGTTTATTTTTTAAAAAATCTACTAAGATCTGTTTTGTAACTATGATAATGAAAGATGAAATATTCATATGAATTTCCATTTATATTTGACTGTCCAAGCTTTCTCAAGTTATTGTCCAAAATAGTTCTGTTTGCTGAGCTATTTTTAACCAGATCAAGGTCAATTTCCTGGAGAGCAGAATGTACTTTATTTTGTGAAAAGTCTAGTGTGGCAACCAAGACTGAGTTTATAGGGATAAAATGGCCAAGGGTAGTATAAAATTTAACACACACACACACACACACACACACACACACACACACACACACACACACATAAAGGGACAGACTGGATATTTTTCCTGATGCAGTCATTTAACATTAGAATAAGAATCTTCAGAGATTATAAACTAAGGATATCAATTATTTTAGCATAAGAATACCAAGAAAAAGGATATTAGCTATATATGGCATTGAAACATATGTTGCAAGAAAAAAAGCTTCCAAGTTTTAAAGCTTCAGCTTTAGGCAAAGAAAAAATAGTGAAAACAACAGAAAATAGTGTTTTGTAAAGTATCACTTTCAAAGTCATAACAAATTCCTCCTTCTCTTTCCCCCCTTTTAAAGTCTGGTGGGTAACTAGGACTTTCTGTTCTTTTCAAGTGCATGGACTGAAAATTGCTCAGTTAAGTTACTCCCTCCCTAGTTGTAAAGAATCCCAAAAGCAACCAATTGCATCTTAAAGCTCAGTAGTATAACAAAGCTGATAAAGCTGAATCGGAGGTTTCTTTGAAATCAGGAGAATCTTGAAGCTTCCTATAAATACCAGAGGTGTCTGGTTTGAAAATGCTTCCTAAAGCAGCATCTATCCACAGTTCATTAAAGAACGTTGCAAGCTTTTGTTTGAGACTAAAAAAAGATGCATCTGTTTCAAGTTCTAATCATTGCCTAAAGTGGTGGCATCTTTCCTTTTTCTTCATGGAGAAGACTGAAAATACTTAGAATTCCCAGGAATTTTCAGACTTTTTCAGGCTGTCTAACCTCTTGGTTAAAAAGACAAAAAAAGTTCTGAAATCCCTGACCAAAAAGCAAAGCTTGAGTGATGGAAAGTTGACTGCATGCAAGTGAACATTTTCCTGCCTTAGTCTCTTGCAGAAACCCATAAAATTCTCATGGAAGCCGGTTTGAAATAACAAGTAGCAGCGAGGAGCTTCCTTCCAATCTGTTTGCAAGCCTGCACATTCCTATCCTTGTGCAATTGAGCTTGACTGAGCTGGTATTTTGGTAATAACATTTTTGTGTGCTAACTCAGGATGGTTTATTATGGGAGGCTTAGCCATAAAATGATTGCTTCTATCATTCACAAGATAATAATTTATCAAAAAGTGAAGCAGCTAGCTGTCTGACAGCTGGACTTCAGGATATTTTCTATCATTCCAGTTTACCATTTGTGAACAAGCAGCTTAGGGTTAGGATGCCCTAAGCTATATCAAGAGCTAGTTTGGTGTAGTGGTTAAGGCGAATGAAGGCAAATATACGTGTCCTGGGATAATGTTGCAGGATCCAATCTGGCTTGGTCACCATGACCAGAGGTTTAGTCTTCTGAGCTTCTGGATTCTTGCTACAGCCCATCATCAGGGAACTTCTCTCTAGCAGAATTGGTTAAGTGGTTAAGGCACCAGCCTAGAAACTGGGAGACTCTGAATTCTAGTCCCATCTTGGCCAGTCCCTCTCTCTCAGCCAAGGAAGAAGAAGACAATGGCAAACTACTTTTAAAATCATGCAAAAAAACTGCAGGGACTTGTCTGAGGTCAACACTGAGTCGAAGGTACAAAAAAAGAGTGGGCTCTAGTAAACATGCCATTTTCTTTTCTAAGAATGCCACTTGATTTTACAATCTTAAAACTGTTACTATGACTTAGTAAATTTGCTGAAAATTTATTAATAAAAACATGTTTTAACTGGTTAATAAAATCTAACATTGGAACAGAAACATGATACACAACATCTTTAATCCTTACAATAAATTTTATAACAAATTTGTTATTTATTTATACTGTAATAAGGGCATAGGCCTTTATACTTCAGGCAGGGCTAATGATAACTTTATAAGGGAGAGAAAAGTCTGCCTTAATATAGTTTATTGCAGTGGTGGCGAACCTTTTAGAGACCGAGTGCCCAAACTGCAACCCCAAACCCACTTATGCATTGTCGGGTGCCGGGTGGGTGTGGCCCATTGGCTGGGTGTGGCCCATTGGCTGGGTGTGGCCACTTGGGTAGGCGTGGCTGCA